TTTGCCCCCAACAAAGATAAGCATTTTAATTAAATGGTTAGAGGGAGTGGAGAAAACTAAAAGTGACCTCTAAAGAGAGATTTCTATTTATGATTTTATCCAATTAAGCAAATTCAAGATATGAGTTTTTGATCCCCATATGTTATTAGTTGTTATTTCTTTATGGAATAGGGAAACTTTTGCTTTCAATATTTCATGTAGATTTGTAGGACCAACCTTGTTTGATGTAGTTGCTATTACGGAATAAAACCTATTGGGATGGGTATCCAACAGGTTTTCAAGGATGAGATTTCACTGAAGGAGATTGAAATTAATTGGGATAAGAAAACCTATACTTCTTTCATTGTTTCTCACTATGGAGAAGATTTTACATTTATAAAAGTGGGTGAACACATTTCTTTTTGGATATAATTTTTTGCACTCTTTCTCTTCAAATCACCAAGTATAATTATAAATTAGCTCAAGTTTTACATTTGGGGAAAAATTGTCAAAATTAAGTTAATTACTTATTGTTTCATTATATTCAAGACTAAATGGAGCATAAGAAATTTTATCAAGAAACGAAACCCCTCAAACTCTAGCTAATGCATTATAGCTTCTTTAATTATGGTTGTGACACCCTCTACCTCACATGACATAACACATATTATAATATAAAACTGAAATATCTCAATATATAAAAAAAATAAACTCAAAATACATACAAGTAGAAAGAATCACATTTTAATATAAACTAAACTTAATAGAAATAACAAATTACAACGGAAATAGAAATTAAACAACTAAAAGTAAATGACAAGAATCAAATTCTAACTAATCCTAACTAATTCTCTGGTGTTACATGTCCTATTAGAGCAGAAGTCAACGTTGAGGATAAAGCCTCATCATCGGCATCCTTAGCACCTTGCTAGTTATTACCTGTAAAAATCACAAGAAGACAACACAAAAGGGAGTGAGAAACATCTCACGGTGTAGGAATGCAAATCGGCTAGCCAAACACAAACAACACATACAATAGTATATGTCATACATAGTTCATTCATAACATAATAAACAACAACAGATAAAATTATAATGCATATGCAATGGACATGGACTACATATTATCATGCATGTGGCCTCAGTAGAAACATAAAAATTGTGCATTGTCGCTAACAATACACTAGAGTAGTCTAAGAGTATATGTCGAGTCACACCCTATGTGCACTCTCACTAAAAGGATATACTACCAGGGTCTAGTCGGAATAGTTAGGCTTGTTGGGCCTAGTTTTGGGCTTCATGGGCCTTTGGGCTTTTGGTACCCAATATTGGGTTCATTTTCATTCTTGTAATTTTTCCTTTCCATTGTATTTGTTTGACCATTGTATTTAGGTCATTAGATTAGGAAAATACAAGAAATACTAAAGTAGGCTAACTAGGTTAAATTAGGTTTAATTTGGAAGCCATTTAAGTTACATTTGAGTCACATGTTTTGCACCAATTGGTGGCTGAACATGTGACACTCAAATTAACCCTAAATGACTCTCAAATCAGACCTAGATGCACATTAGGTACCTAAAATCACGGCCACACCCATGTGCACCAAAATTTGAATTCAAATTTCCAATTTGAATTCAAATTTTAGGCGCCAACTTGTGTAG